ACCCCCGCCCACGAAATGACTGTGCGCATCGCACAACCTTTTCAATCGTGTACTGTGGCGCCAACTGTAGCGGGAGAAGTTGATTTCTTCTCTTGTGCAAATCCAAGTTTCAGTTTCAGGAGCATCACTTCCGGTTCTTGAAAGTGGATGACAGTCGCCTCTGGAAACTATACTTTGAGGTCACTGGCATGCTTTCGGTGTTTTAAGACCACCATCACAAAGCCTCCTCCCTCTGTCGCAACTTGAAGTGATTGCGCCATAGTCAATCCTTCCAATTCCACCAAATTGAAACCTTTTTACCACCAAGTAACTTTTCCTTGCGATACAAGTTATTCTCCTTACAAGATAGTAAAATTGTGACTTTGTGGCGCATTGAGCTACTATTTTCCCTTCGACCAAATTCTAGTTTTGGAGAGCAAACCCGTTAGTGAAAAAAGGAATTGGCATTTTCGCATGACTTTGAGGTTTGTCTAGCTGTAAAGGAAAATTCCGGGACGAATATATGCTAGCCGCAAACTACACGACTTGCTGCGATTCCACTCTAATTTTCCCGGTTTTTTATGTACTGTGTTAATTGGTTGCCTAACTTTCAGTTTCGGCTAAGATGCAATTTAGGGGTATCGTAATTGTACCTTCGCCGCGATATAAGGATGAGGATTAAATGCCTTGCTCCAAATCCACCTTTACATTTAGGTGCATTACCAATGTGGTTCGATTAACCCTGAAACAGGCTGCGAGAAGGGAAATCGAGTTAACTAAATACGGGGAACGCAAAGCCGTGTTAGCACTATCAAGTAGTCCTATCATAGGACATCTTCACTTCTACACTTGGGAGCCGGTTGTTGAGAGCGTACACGCATGCACGCATCCCCATTGTGGGGTTACCTTCGGTACAAGTAAAGGTGGGTTCAAGCCGATAAAGGGTAGTTGCGCTTGCAACTTGGCAGGATCTGATTGGCTTCTGATCAGCAAAATTGCGATTGGTTATGCACTCCCTTGAGTAAACCAATGGTTATGCAGTCTGTCTCTTGCAGCTTTGTTTTTCCCTCCTGTGTTCGAAACCAATCTTAATGACCGTCATTTTGGGTGGACCAAATCATTCTAATGAGTCATACCACTACATACATTTTTTTCGCCTGCCGTTCCTCGCCGAAATACCACAGACCTAGCGCAGCTTGGGTGGAGAAAAACTATCCTATTTCAACAAGCACTGGAAGAATGTGGTGAAAATTTAGGCGTCTACAAGGCCATTCCCATCCATATAAATATCACATTTAAGTATTACACGAACGTGAAGAAATAATTTGTTATTTCAAGTTCATAAGTCGCTAATTCTATTGTCATTTGGTTAGGATAACTGGAGGTAAATTACACGTGGCTGTCCATCATAAAATGGCGTTTTGAAGGATCTTGAACACCACAGGTACGGTTGATGCAAAATCCTTTTATCCTTGATGACCATCTGCGTGCTTGTCAGTAACACTGATTACCGACTCGACAGATTGTTAATGCATTAGCGATCTGACTCCGAAAAAACAATTGCAAGATTTACTTAAAGCAGGAAGTAAGGAGATTTAAATGCAGCCTTTTTGTAAAAACACCATAGATTTGTTAAGGCTCTGGTTTCTTCGTTCCTCAGAACTCCTTCTTCCTCTTGTCAATACGAACCATTTCGATATCGAATTCAAGATCCGAGTCAGGTGGAATGAGATTCCCGTAGCCCCTTTCTCCGTAACCCATCGAACTGGGAATGCGAAGACGACGGCGTTCACCTTCACAAGTACTAGAATTTCACCAAAAAAGGTCAAATAATAGTTAACTTCTCACTCAAGGTACCCAGCATCCATAATCAACTTCCACCATGGGAAAAAATTCATTCATAAAAAACGACAGATCCCTTAGTGGAAAACAGTAGCCTGTGATGGTTACCTCTTGGGCGAGGAACAACCACATTGGTGAGCGGGTGTAATTTAGGAATCAGCTTGAATTTTCCTAAGCTCCGTTAGAGATCAGGTTTTTGTCTCACAAGATTTTACCCACTATGAGCTACTCTAAAGGATCCAAGTAATTGACTGGATCGTATTGTTTAGAAGTGACTAATCAAATTAGAGAAATCTGAGATCTGGCAAACTTACCCAATTAGACCCTCCTCCCATCCGGCAATGACCTGACCTGCACTCACGGTTATCCGAATGGGTTCACCACCGACATTCGAGTCAAACTGCTTCTTAGTCTCGTACAGCCATCCGGTGTATAAGACGTGCACATAATCGCCTTTCTGAACGAATTTGCTGCAGGGCACATAGAGGATTTTCCGGTTCTTGAAAGTGGATGACAGTCGCCTCTGGAAACTATACTTTGAGGTCACTGGCATGCTTTCGGTGTTTTAAGACCACCATCACAAAGCCTCCTCCCTCTGTCGCAACTTGAAGTGATTGCGCCATAGTCAATCCTTCCAATTCCACCAAATTGAAACCTTTTTACCACCAAGTAACTTTTCCTTGCGATACAAGTTATTCTCCTTACAAGATAGTAAAATTGTGACTTTGTGGCGCATTGAGCTACTATTTTCCCTTCGACCAAATTCTAGTTTTGGAGAGCAAACCCGTTAGTGAAAAAAGGAATTGGCATTTTCGCATGACTTTGAGGTTTGTCTAGCTGTAAAGGAAAATTCCGGGACGAATATATGCTAGCCGCAAACTACACGACTTGCTGCGATTCCACTCTAATTTTCCCGGTTTTTTATGTACTGTGTTAATTGGTTGCCTAACTTTCAGTTTCGGCTAAGATGCAATTTAGGGGTATCGTAATTGTACCTTCGCCGCGATATAAGGATGAGGATTAAATGCCTTGCTCCAAATCCACCTTTACATTTAGGTGCATTACCAATGTGGTTCGATTAACCCTGAAACAGGCTGCGAGAAGGGAAATCGAGTTAACTAAATACGGGGAACGCAAAGCCGTGTTAGCACTATCAAGTAGTCCTATCATAGGACATCTTCACTTCTACACTTGGGAGCCGGTTGTTGAGAGCGTACACGCATGCACGCATCCCCATTGTGGGGTTACCTTCGGTACAAGTAAAGGTGGGTTCAAGCCGATAAAGGGTAGTTGCGCTTGCAACTTGGCAGGATCTGATTGGCTTCTGATCAGCAAAATTGCGATTGGTTATGCACTCCCTTGAGTAAACCAATGGTTATGCAGTCTGTCTCTTGCAGCTTTGTTTTTCCCTCCTGTGTTCGAAACCAATCTTAATGACCGTCATTTTGGGTGGACCAAATCATTCTAATGAGTCATACCACTACATACATTTTTTTCGCCTGCCGTTCCTCGCCGAAATACCACAGACCTAGCGCAGCTTGGGTGGAGAAAAACTATCCTATTTCAACAAGCACTGGAAGAATGTGGTGAAAATTTAGGCGTCTACAAGGCCATTCCCATCCATATAAATATCACATTTAAGTATTACACGAACGTGAAGAAATAATTTGTTATTTCAAGTTCATAAGTCGCTAATTCTATTGTCATTTGGTTAGGATAACTGGAGGTAAATTACACGTGGCTGTCCATCATAAAATGGCGTTTTGAAGGATCTTGAACACCACAGGTACGGTTGATGCAAAATCCTTTTATCCTTGATGACCATCTGCGTGCTTGTCAGTAACACTGATTACCGACTCGACAGATTGTTAATGCATTAGCGATCTGACTCCGAAAAAACAATTGCAAGATTTACTTAAAGCAGGAAGTAAGGAGATTTAAATGCAGCCTTTTTGTAAAAACACCATAGATTTGTTAAGGCTCTGGTTTCTTCGTTCCTCAGAACTCCTTCTTCCTCTTGTCAATACGAACCATTTCGATATCGAATTCAAGATCCGAGTCAGGTGGAATGAGATTCCCGTAGCCCCTTTCTCCGTAACCCATCGAACTGGGAATGCGAAGACGACGGCGTTCACCTTCACAAGTACTAGAATTTCACCAAAAAAGGTCAAATAATAGTTAACTTCTCACTCAAGGTACCCAGCATCCATAATCAACTTCCACCATGGGAAAAAATTCATTCATAAAAAACGACAGATCCCTTAGTGGAAAACAGTAGCCTGTGATGGTTACCTCTTGGGCGAGGAACAACCACATTGGTGAGCGGGTGTAATTTAGGAATCAGCTTGAATTTTCCTAAGCTCCGTTAGAGATCAGGTTTTTGTCTCACAAGATTTTACCCACTATGAGCTACTCTAAAGGATCCAAGTAATTGACTGGATCGTATTGTTTAGAAGTGACTAATCAAATTAGAGAAATCTGAGATCTGGCAAACTTACCCAATTAGACCCTCCTCCCATCCGGCAATGACCTGACCTGCACTCACGGTTATCCGAATGGGTTCACCACCGACATTCGAGTCAAACTGCTTCTTAGTCTCGTACAGCCATCCGGTGTATAAGACGTGCACATAATCGCCTTTCTGAACGAATTTGCTGCAGGGCACATAGAGGATTTT